CTGGCCTCCCTGAAAAACCGGAAAAGGGTCGAGCACCTATTTCCGGCGGCGGGGGGAGACTCGGCCATTATTAAAAGTATAAAGCCACTTCCGCGCGTGCTACGCCGAACGAGACCGGGAATTAAATGGAAGAGCACCATCTTCTGGTCCGCGGAGCTAATGATTATTATTCCTTCTTTCTTTTTATTTACTCCGCTCTTTTTCTAGTCCGATCGAACACTTCTTTTTGACTGCTTAAATCTTTGCTGCCAGTTGATATACTGCCAATCTTTTTTAATGTTTTACTACAATTTTTTTTTGCGGTTTGTTCTACTATGTTTTATTTATAGAGTCATGGAGTTTGTTTGGAAGAATCGAGTTGTATAGAGAGTTTATCATGCGTTTTGCTTTTCCAAATTTCTATATTTCCAGTTTCTTACATCCACCAATTCCTACATAGATCAATTTCTACATATACCAATTCTCACATATGCCAATTTCTACATGTCCCAATTACCACATATGCCCATTTCTACATATCTCAATTCCCACATATCCTAATTCCCACATATGCCAAATTCCACATATCCCAAATTCCACATATCCCAAATTCCACATATTCCAAATTCCACATATCCCAAATTTCACATATTCCAAATTCCACATATCCCAAATTTCACATATTCCAAATTCCACATATCCCAAATTTCACATATTCCAAATTCCACATATCCCAAATTTCACATATTCCAAATTCCACATATCCCAAATTTCACATATTCCAAATTCCACATATCCCAAATTTCACATATTCCAAATTCCACATATCCCAAATTTCACATATTCCAAATTCCACATATCCCAAATTTCACATATTCCAAATTCCACATATCCCAAATTCCACATATTCCAAATTCCACATATCCCAAATTTCACATATTCCAAATTCCACATATCCCAATTCCCACATATTCCAATTCCCACATATTCCAATTCCCACATATCCCAATTCCCACATATTCTTATTCCCACATATGCTAATTCCCACATATTCCAATTCCCACATACCCCAATTCCCACATATGCTAATTCCCACATATGTTAATTCCCACATATGCTAATTCCCACATATTCCAATTCCTACATATCCCAGTTCCCACATATGCTAATTCCCACATATGTTAATTCCCACATATCCCAATTCCCACATATCCCAGTTCCT